GGTTTATTATTCCAAGAATAATGTTTATAAATTTATTTTCAATCCTAAATGCTTATAACTATGCCTCTAGAAATAAGCAGTAACAACATTTACGAAGAAACTGATAAATCTTGTGTGTTAAATTATCCGTTTTTAATTTATTCTGGTATTATTCAAATCAAACTGTAAATGATTACCAACTCTAAATAATTGATATCGATTTTTTTTAAGAATCGAATATTGTACGTTCCCGTGTTTTGGTTGGCATGCTTGGTGCGTTAAGTCTGACAGCTATCAAAATGTATTTCTTAGATTTGGTTGACTATAATAATTTATATTTGGACGCTTTGTCACCCGTGAGGACTTAGACGAATAATTTATTTCCATTAAAAAGGCTTTTCCGTTAACTAGAAATTAAGTAGGTATTTTTGGACTAGCGTGTGCTATTAGCCCTATCCAACAAAAACAATAACGTACTTCATGTCGGGCTAGCTGCTTATTCACAAGTTCAAAGTAGGGATGCCCAAGTAAAAATAAAATATCGATATATACCGTATCAATATTTTAAACAGTATCAACATATATCGCGTGATTAATATCGATACATCGATAAATCACCATTTTTTGCAATATGTAGTAGAACAAGGTCCAAAATTGTATTTAAAAATGGCAACAGCACATGAATGCTTTTGTAGTTACTTTTGTTACTTAATATTTTGTCAAATAATACAACATTTTAAAATATATCGAAACTGATGCGAATATTGAATTCGCTCACTGTTCGAATTCGCGAAACTCCAAAATAAATATCCAATATCCCTTTATCGTGATTTAGAAATATCGCCAATTTATATCGTTATTTCATGAGAATATATTAATATTTCGATATATCAATTTTGTTCACCCAAACCTAGTTCAAAGCAAGCACGATTCCGGTCGAGCACGACGTATTATTTCTATATTTATGCTGGTGCTGTGCAATGACAGCTAGCAGGATGGAACTCAATAAAATGCGTGGAAAGAGGTTTACCTGTGACATTCATTTGGTTAAAGCCAATCTTGATAGTTTCGAGCACAGAGCACAAAATCTTTCGCTGTATTACAGAAGAAAACTGGAAAAGTGGTGTTGGAAGTAGTGATGCTGGGATTGGTGGTGACGGGATAAGTGCACGCAATTATGGTAGGGCTGGAGGTGCTCTTTAAACTAGGTAAGATACATCATTTCATTTTATTGAGCGGATGGCTGCAAAGCTACTATTAATATCTTTAACCATTCATCTTATCCATTTTTCAAAATCAACAGTAGCAGTTAGCTGAAATAGGGACATAATTTGACTTTGCACAAATTCTTTGGTAATATCTTTGGGTAGTGTTTTTTTTTTTGAAGTGAAAACTTCTTTAGCATTTCTTTAGATTTAAAAGACTATGAAACTAAAAAGCGAAAGTAAAAAGAGATATACACATAAATTCATAACATTTAACGTGGGAGAAAATGAGATAGGAAGCATTATAGCTCAATGCTCGCGGGAAATAAGTCGTAAAAGCCGCCGAAACGTCGTCGTTTACGTAATTAATAAACAAGCAGCAACGTGTTTAATAAACAAGCAGTGAAGCACGGCCAAACCTCAACTTCGTATAGGTAAAATTGATATAAGTCTTTTTGTAATTAGTGTTACATTTATTTACTATAAAATTAAATTTTCTTGTATTTTATGCCGAACTTGTAGTTCAAATTACAATATTAAATAAATCATTTTCCGTAAAGTATTTGTATTTTATATTTCATTTCATCTGAAGGTTTCACTTCTGTCGCGTATGAGCTGCACGCATTTTTTTTACTTATAATGCCAAATAATGTTTTATTTCTTTATTTCTAAGCATAGTTAGTGCGCTTTACGATCATCGACTACATCACTACTTACTATCCGTAGGGTTAGTAGTCTAGTACTGGGTTTTTAAATGGTATAAAATAATACAAATCGTGCGCATTTATATTGTCTACTTACCTGCAGCAATGGATTAAAGTGCGTGCCAGGTGCACAGGTACGTTCCACTTTCTCTCCAAACACACAGTAGTAGAACTTGCCACAGTCTGTTTCGTGTGGGAGAAGTTTGTGAATGTCAAAGTCGCTTGGACATCCGTTTGGCAGCAATTCTCCTTGATCGACGTCATTTTCGTTTCCACCTCCACCACTGCCTCCACCGCAACTTGCCCCTTCTCCGCAGTTTTCGCCTCCACTACCACCTACGCCGTTACCTGCGTCTCCTCCACCACTACTTCCATTTTCACCAGCGTTGTTGGCACATCCAGCATTTTTGGGCCAGTCGCATACCTGTGAGATTTTTTTGTGTTTTATAATTATACATTTTATTTATCAATTTTGTTTTGTTTTACAGTTAGTAATGTGACTGCAGAACTTCGACTTATCTACTTAGTTTCATCTTGTAATTAAGTATAGACGTCAAAGATATGTGTACTGTGTACTTGAATCCATTTATTCTCTCTTCACAACAGGTAAACTAAGAGCTATATAGAAGTGCCAGACCGGTGCATAAGTCGTAAGAGGCTGATGCCTGGGTTAAGTTTGAAAACCTATGTAGAAATAAAGAATAGAAAAAAGTGAATTAATTTTAGAAAAACTTGTACATAATTACAAACAGTTTTTTTTTAGTTCCACAGGGGTTCTTGCTATTTCTTTCGAGGACAGAGGTATATTCCAGGACAGACGTCATTATATCCGTTGAGGCTGTGAGCCAATCGCATCATTTCATTCTGCATGGCGTTTGAATTAACATTTTCGAAAAAAAAACATTTTTAATTCAAAAATATCATGAAAAATATTTTTTTTAAATTTGTTGATAATTTTTAGTTAACTTTCAAAAAATATTAAATAACATGAAATTTTGCAATTAGTCATTCAGAAAAAAATATGAATAAAACAATAATGGAAAAAATACTGATTTAGTCATAATCCTTGTAATATTGTTCAATTTTCGAGGGGGAAACAGGGGTATACGGGATAACGATATCGTCAATTTTTCAAAGGTATGTTACCTTATTTCTGTGACCTTAACGAGTAGGTCCAGCTGCAAATATCGTACACAGTGCGAGCGAAATAAATTGTTAACACCTATTTTTCAGATATCTTGCAGCCCGTATATCCAATTTTCTTTTATAAGTTGGTCACCTTTTTATATTTAAGTTTTTATGTTTGTACATGGACAAATGTCCAAATTCTGGAACAGTATCAATTTCTATTATTTACTAGGTAAACGAACAATTTTCCCGATCCGTGCGCCGCAGTTAAACACTAGCCCAAACCCCTCCTGCCTTTGTTCCCTATTTGTTTATAAAATGTCATCAAAATTGGTATCAGCCATTCCGAAGATTAATCCGAACAGACAGAGAGACAAAAATTATATATATATATAGCCCATGAGTGACACATAATTTTTTTTTTGCGAATTTGAGGATTTTTAATAGGACATGACAAATTGTCGTCGAAAAGGGCAGAACAACGTCTGCCTGGCAAGCTAGTATATATATAAATTACGTGTTACGTTTTTGGCCGCAATGGACACCCAAACTACTTAACCAATCTTGATCAAATTTGCACACCGTGTGCATTTTGGCCCAACTTGAGAAATAAGATATTTTTTTGCCCATGAGTGACACACAATTTTTTTTGCGAATTTAAGTATTTACATATACTTGAATCATTATTTATACGTATAAATATATTTGAAGTTAGTTAGTTACCTGCAACGTTGGATTGAAGTGGGTATTCAAAGGGCACTCGCGTTCAACCTTGTTACCAAAAACGCAATAGTAAAACTTGGAGCAATTCGTCTCATGTGGCAATAGCTTGTGGATGCCGAAATCTGCCGGACAACCGTTGGATAAGTTCCCCCCGCCAGCGCCTCCACTTCCACCATCACCTCCAACAGAACCAGCGCACTCTACGTTATGGGGCCAATCACATACCTAAAATTAAAATCAAAAACATATAAGTGTCAAAGGAACTTGCATTGCACTTGATGTTAAGTGGCTCTGCAGCACATGGGCACCTGTACCAACTTTGCATAAAGAAGGCTGAAGATGGAATGTCTTACAGCCTCTAATTACGCTTGTTTTCTATACATTCAGACAGGAACACAACAGCACAGCCAGCTGCCTGGCAACTGACAGGGGTAAGTGAATGGTAGACTTAACCCCTCAGTCCCCAGCCTAAATGTACGTACTGCTCGCACGCTTTGCGTGACACGGTATCGCTAAAAATAACCTAACATGAAATTTGTCGTACATTTATTTTCAATAAAATTCATTATAAATTTCAATATAATACCCATTTCTGTTTATTTATTATGTTATATTACTTGTTTTATCGCTAAAAATAACCTAACATGAAATTTGTCGTACATTTATTTTCAATAAAATTCATTATAAATTTCAATATAATACCCATTTCTGTTTATTTATTATGTTATGTTACTTGTTTTAGTGCTTTTACTTCATTACAAATAGATTTAACTGTATTTTGAAATGATATTAAAAATGTACACATCCAGCGCAGGACAGCAGCGTGAAATTCACAATTATTTATATATATTACTCGAAATTATTTACGTAAAAAGATACACGAACAAGGAAAACAAGAACACTATACTAAACACTAATAACATACTAGAAAAGTCCAAAAATCAACACAATAACACGCCACACCTAACAGTCTTACGAAATGAACATGGATTATAAATAAATACCATAGACTAACTGAGTTTTTTATTGCATTAAAGGATTGAGAATTTCACATGGAGCCTATAATACCAAACTTTTTCATAGAGAAGTAGTCTCTAAATGAAAATTTTATGGTTTAAAGTGCTGTGGGTGGGTGTGGTCGGATCCGACCAGTTGGAATTTGACGGAATATTGCCGTGGTCGGAAGCAGAAATAACTCTTACCACCATTACGGTATAAATAAATTAGTACGTGAGAACAATATGATCATCCGGTTAATATGGTCAGTTTCTTATAACTCTAAAACTACAGCCTTGTTTACATAGATGTACATGAATTGTGATACGATAGCTCTCTATCGGCCAATCAAATAATAAAAGGTCAAATGAACGCTGGTTTATCGACACCATTTTGACAGTTTATATTATAGTAAATATTTTAGTCATTTAAGTATGGTGTAGTGTAGTTCGTTTTTTTTTCAGTTGTATTTTCGATGTGTTCATAATTATAACCAAGGCTTGTTTGCTATTCATATATTGGTTAAAGTATACCTACGACTTTGTTTTTTTGTTTCTGTCATTCTTCTAGTTTTGGTTTTATGGGGCGACAAAGCGTAAGGTGAATAATTACCCTCAAGTACCTTATCAGATAAATCGTTGAATCCAACTCAACTAGGCAGCTTTAAGTATTATAAGTTTTCGGAAATTCCTATAGCCACGTATTCTTTAAACTCTTGAATGTACAAGCACTGTGTGATGTCAGTGATGAAATAATATGGAACTACGATGATGGCTATGTAAAGAGGTGTCACAGACAAGATTGGCTATATTTGAAGTAAACTTCCATTAGAACATTCTAAAATCCATAATGATTACTTATATTTACGCGAACACTACACATTGATTAAAAATACTTTTACGGATTTTATCGCGTTTAATTTTAATTTTAATTATTTTTATTTTTAATTCCCGACGTTTTAAGTGCTTTCCAGCACCCGAAACGTCGGGAATTAAAAATAAAAATAATTAAAATTAAAATTAAAATTAAACGCGATAAAATCAGTAAAAGTAGTTTTAATCAATTCTAAAATCCACCAAAAAAGATGAATCAATTTTAACATCCGTCGAGTGTAATATGCTACAAGACGCAGAAGTGTTCAAGCTTGATTATGAATTTTATTTCAAAGATTATAGGACCCACAAAAAGATATATAAAACCCCGCATTAAAAAACATAATGATAGTAATGTCCCCCAGACCGAATTTCCGTCACGGCGGCTAGCCTCAACGGAGATTAGCTATTGGCGAAGGACAAGATTCCAATGCCAAGTGTATGCGCAAGCACAGATGCACTCTCTATTCCCTAACTCTCATAGTGCGATGAGACGGTAAATCGATACGACCAGAAAGATATCAGGCGCAGGGCTACCTCGGTTTTACGTGCTTTCCGAGGCACGAGGAGATGATGACACTCTACGGAAAAACTCAATAACTGATTTTTTTTAGACCGACCCGGGATTCAAACTCGGGACCTCATAATCAGTAGTGGCGTTCGCTTAAAATTAATAATTAAAAGCTAAAGGTACTCCAGATTAACTATGATATCAGAACGTACAACATTTCAGGCGCCCGTGACCTTTGCAAAGCACTCGAAATATTGGGAGTTAAAACAAATTAAATTGGTCGCGTTTAAATCCCTAAAATTACAATTACATTAAAGTCCACTGCTGAATACAGTCCTTCCTCATAAATTGCTTCAGGGCAATATTTGCTATAGCTGTCAAGCTTGGCAAGCGGGTCCGTAGTTATTTTTTAATTTTTTATCGTTATTTTGTAGACGCTGCTACCCATCTCTCGATTTGTTTCTCTCTGTAGCTTCTTACATCATCCACGGGATGAGGGGGGTGGTGGATATTCTTTCACCGCCACTAACCTTTTTACACCGTCGGTAAAATAATCTCGATTAAATCCCTTAAAGTAGTTTTACTCCTGATCCTGATCCTTATGTACAAGCTTAAGATCGTTCAGCGAGCTTTTAATAAAGCTTTGCTCGAAGTTTCTCTACGTGATGGGGTCCATAATAAAACTATTCGCAGTAGAACTTCAGTAACCGACATAGCCTGCAGCATGTAACTGTTGGTTTAGTAACGTTTCGTATAGCGAGTATGGAGATTCGGATATTATTCTTCTGTTAACGAGGTGTTACATTTTTCACAAAAACGCAAACCAAACGCAAAGTTGTCACAAAACGCATCTGCAGTTAAGTTCTCGTTTATAAAAGTAAGCGAGCTCGTTTGTCACACATGATGGTTTCTCTTACGGCACAACCACACAACATATTTAATACAATGACAAACGAGTACACAGCAAACCTGATGGTAATTGGATGCTGTGGCCCATTGACATTTACATCTATCCTTGATTACGAATTAAAATGCAAATGCATTATCACCCGTGAGGACTAACATTGAAATGCCTCCCGGGGTCTCCGGTTCTCTACAAAGCACGTATATTAAGCTGCTATTCTGTGAGAGTGTGGTCTTACCCTACTACCTATTCGTACTACAACCACAATATAGCTGCAGCGAATATAGTGAGAGCGTGATGGTCCGGTCCGAGTGAGTCCCGAGTCCGAGTCCGAGTCCGATCAGGTACCTCACCGCGTACGGTCGCCTGCGACCCAACCGTGAAGTGCAGTTGTTCGGTTGAGCCCATGCGCTCCCAGTGCGTTGTTCTCAAGAACGAAGAAAGAAGACCTGTTTTACCTGTTCGCGGAAGTGCAACAGTGTCGTTGTGCGCCTTTACGGCCGCCAGGTGCATCGGGTCGCCGGCCCATTGTTCTATTGTGTAGTTCTAGTTAGTGCCCCACGTTCTCCGGATTTCCAGTAAACTGTAAGTAGTTTATTTGCACACACGCTGCCTCAGAGGCAGCAATTCTATTGTCTTAATTTTTTTGTTCGCTTGTCGCATTAGGCGACAGCTAGGTACACACCCTAGCGTACCAACGCGCTAGTTGTATTAGCGTTCGTTTAGGCACACACCTCCCCCCGCCAAAAGGTGGGAGGGGCTTGATACACAAGTGTTTTTTTAACCACTGACAAGATGGCGGCTATAACTATAGCCGAACCGGCCGACTTCTTCGGTCAAGTGTGCCCCGACGCTTGGGCTGCTTTCCTAGCCCAGCGCAACGAGACCACTGCTGAACGTCCAGTAGTACGTATCGACGACCCTATGTCGCCGAGCACTGGTCCCTCGACCCCTGTGTCCATCGACACAGTCTACGACGCCGCGTCCCCTGCGCCTTCTGCGCTCTCCACCCGCGGTCCCTCCCCGTTGTTTTCGGACGCCGAATCAGGCTCCGAGATGGAGACTGAAAACCACCGAACCGATGACGAAGGCTTCACCCTTGTCTCGGGTAAAAAACGCAAGCACCCCGCCGCGAAAAAGAGAGACGAGCCTCACTCGGCCCCTACATCACCCAACGCCACTCCGGCTAAAAAAGTCGCGCCTTCCGCGCGCAACGACGGATAATTTCCGCGCTTTAACTGCGCACCTTAAAGCTCAGAATCTGAGCTTTCACACTTACTCTCTCGCGGAGGACCGTAACCTCCGAGTTGTAGTTCGCGAACTCCCTAAGGAGCTAGAAACCGAGCATATATTAAGCGATCTTAAATCGCAAAACCTTCTTGTTAGAGAAGTGCACAGGATGCAGCACCCAACCGACAAAAAAAGACACCTAGATCTTTGTCTAGTAATACTGGACCTGTCTCCAGAGGGCAAAGAGATATTTAACATCACCCGGAAATGCAACCTCACGGGGATTGTTGTAGAGTCCCCGCGTAATAGGGGCATCGTTGGCCAATGCCCCGATGTCAATTATACGGCCACTCGACCAGGAATTGTTTCGCCCGGCCTAGGTACGTCAAGTGCCTAGGCGATCATGGCAATCCCGAGTGCCCCCGAACGCCCGAGACGGAGGGCCCTCCGAGCTGCGTTCTGTGCGGCGAAGAGGGACACCCAGCGAGCTATCGCGGGTGTTCCAAAGCGCCGCGTAGAAAGCAGAATGGAGGAGCAATCCGACGCGGACGAGCGGGCAACTCCAGTAGGTCGCGCCCACGGCATTCTGCCCCATCGATCGCACCAACCTCGGTGCCGCAACCCGCGCCCGCTCAGGCTACAACCAAGCCCGCCCCCGTTAAAGGGACTCCCGGGCAAGGCCCAAGCCTTCCGGTGCCTTCAGCACCTAAGC